GTAGTGAAATTACATTGGTCAAATCACAATATGCATATGGATTGAAGCTCCTAAGTCATTTTCTTTAAATTTTTTATGCTCAAATTTAAAAGGCCTAGCCGGCTAAACATAGGGAATCGACCTCAGCAACAATTTCGGTCTATATTTATATCACACAATGCTTTCTGCCTACAGAACAATTGTGAGTAATATCAGCTCCCCCCTTCCAAGGAAGATATGGCATTAACAACCCTAAAACTTACTATTTTTTTTCTCCAAACTATTTAAGATATTTGAACACATTAAACTGCAAATAGTAGTTAACCAAAGATTAAAGGTAAAAAAATAATAATTAAACGTTTGAGGGGTGACTTTTTCAAACAATCCCTTTAAGGGACACCCACCAAAATGATCATGAATAATATTTTATTTCTTAACTTTTATCTAAAAAAATTCAAGAAGTCGGATTGGTGGAACATGACTAAAAAAAAATATATATAATTGATATAACGCTCCTTTTTAAGGCAAAGGCAGGCGGTAGATTAGTGAAACTTACCCCAACCGATTTACAAGGGAACATATTGAACCGGCTCGTGTCGATTCTCACACAAGCAGTTTGCAGATACCTAAATATGTAAAATTACTCAAAATTTCATGATCATTTGTCTTCGACTATTTTCGGTAGTGTGTCAGTAATAAGCCAGATAAGCTAGAAAATTCCGTGTAAACTCAAAATAAAGATTAAACAATGTATTTTTAGTATAACAGAGGCACATCCATCGGTTCTTAACGCGGACAACAACGATTCGCATCGCTAGGACATGCGCACTCTCAGCTATTGGACTTTCTGCTGAATTCAAGTTATTGGCAATAATAAAACCTAAATCGAGATTTGTGTATCATTGTTATTCTGTTACACGTTTTTGGAATGAAGACGCAGTTCGAAAATGAGACTGTAACCATTACTTCGAAAAAGAAAGAAGAATTTTTTCCATCATAACGTCCGTATACCACCTAAATAATGGTAGGAAGTAGTAGATCCAGAAAGCAAATACTTTGATTGTAGTGGAGGTATTGTTTTCTTTTTATTTTGACAATTGTATTTTTTAAAAATACAAAATAATTTTGAAAAATTAATTTTTTACTCGAATAAGTAAACTGTTACATTGTGTACTGTTAAGTTATGACATAATGATTTTGAATTAATAATTGCATAATGTTATTAACTGTGATTCTCAAATTTCCATTAAAGAATTAATAATAATTAGTACTAATGGATGCATGATATATGTTTAAATCATATTCATTTATATTATAATATTTAAATTATGCACGATAATTAAAAAGATATATTTTATCTTGTAACACAGATTTTATATGTATTTGACAAAATATTTTTCGTATCATACAGAAGTCACTACATAAAATTTACAAGTTAAGATGTACGTAGGTACCGATAATTTTGAAACACATTTTAACAGTTTATAACTTAAAATGGTAAGGAATAAAATAATTTGAAAAATCTCTGAATTATCAACTGAATTATCACTTTGAATTAAAATCATCTAATATTTCAAATGCTCTAATAAATAATGTAGTTCGTCAATATCAGTATGTACCCATGTATTATATTACAAAAAATACAACCGACTTCAAAATGCGCTAAAAAGTGTAAAATAATTTTTATTTCATTTTTACCAATGCTTCACAGCTATTAATAAAACCTATTTAATAGTTAAATAGTATACTAAATACACTTCAACCTTTTCGGAGGCGGCGCAAAATTAAAAACTTTTCCTCTACTAGAAAGATCCTAACTCGGGCGTCGGCAACCTATGATAAATGACCCATTTGATAATTTCAAGTAAACAATATTCAACGGGATTGCGAATTAACTATATTGAAGTTCACGAGAGTCCGCACTTAACTCGCGCAGCTCACTAGGTCTAGGGAGATTTTTAATAGCGTACGTGATTTCCCTTTACAGCTTGCTTCTTACTTTGCGTTCATATCATTTTTTTTTCGAAAAATAATAGGAATTTCATTATATCGTGAAAATTTACAATATCATCACCGGTTATCAGTTATCGTACGTCATATATTACTGCTCACTATTTATACGATCGCAAAGTATAATAAGAAGCAAGCTGTAGAGGGGAATAACACACGTTATTAAAAATCTCTCTAGACCTAGTGCGCTGCGCGAGTTAAGTATGGTCTCTCGTGAACTGCAGTATAGTGCATGTACATCAAGAGTGCTGCCAATTTCTGATACAATCGTTACAATTACAAATGTTTTCAGCAGGACCTATAACGTTCTCTTACGACTTATTAATTACCAAGTTTGCCATACCGCAATCAAATCATTATTGGCAGCATCGTTTGTTCGGGTATTTTTAATTTTGCGCTGCTTCCGAAAACTTTGAAATGTATTTGGTATCCTATTTAACGATTAAGTAGATATTATTAATAGCTATGGAATATTGGTATAAATGAAATAGAAATTATTTTACACTTTTTATTGCATTTCGAAGTCGGATTTGTTTTTTGTTAAAAATTATTCTATTTCACAGTTTTTAGTGGAACCAGTAGTATTTGTAGGATAGTGTAAGGTGATTTTGCGTTTCTGTCGCTTACAATTATTACCTTGTTAGGTAATATCCATAAACCGAAAAAAAATTAACAGAATTTAAATGGTTAATAAACAACAAATTTCATAAATTTTTGCGAGTGGGATCATCGCCGCGGATACACAGGGTGTCACGCGACTACCTCGACAGCCGAAGAGGGATGATTGCTAAGGTGATTCTAAACAACTTTTTCCTTTGTCAAAATGTTGGTTCGTTTTCGAATTATTAATAAAAAACACCGACCAATCCGAGCGCGTACAGCGCGCGGGCTTAGCGACTGCAATGTCGGCTACGAAAACCGGGCCTGACGTAGGTCACGAACGAACGGCTCGGCACCCCGTTGGCATAGCACAATAAAAAAACTGAACTGGTAGAACATTTTTAGCCGTTTAAAATAAATACGGAACCTAATCTCTTGTCGCCTGTCATAATGTAAAAAAGGAAATTCTAAGGATTTTAAACAACAAATAAAAATGATTGAAATGGAATAATTAATAAACGTTTGAATTGGAAGCTACGTTAATGATGAAAAATTTGAAAACAATTTAAATGAAACTTACCCATTCGTTGCTCAATTAACCTGCTACGCTGAAAGCAGATAGTGGCCACTGGGTCACTGTGTCGGTCTCAACCATTCGACGAGGAAACACATTCGGTAGAACAGCTGATTTCATGGTCGGGCCAGTGAACTCGCTTCATTTATTGCACTTAGGTATGAATAACAGGCGGTCCCCTTCGGGGCCAAGTTTTTCATTTAAGCAACGGCACAAAAGTACTATCACTTTTCACACACTTCAACCTTATTACCTGAATAATAATTAACAAGTAAACTAATGTTTACTGTACGTTTAATAAATTAAATGACAGTGCAGGATCACTACCACTACGTTAGAGAAATTTTTTTGATAGAGGAGGGGTTAAAGTTCCACATATCCCCTTGAACCTCGAGGAAAACTGATGCACGTTTTATTACATTGCATTTTTCGCTCTGGCACGAACGTGCCGCTAGGTTCGTGTAGCTAGTCTCCGGAAACACTGAACACTTGGTGCATTTACGGTGACACCATAGGGCCCATTTCGTCCCCAAACTGGGTTTTTCCAAAGGGTCAATTAGCAATCGGTAAAGGCATAACGGTACTCCAACCTGCGAAGGTTCCGTTAAATGGTTAGACCTACGGTGGCACTGCGAATACATCAAGTGTTGAATGTTACGCGTAGTTACGGCACTGGCACGGCGAGGTAGGCATACAATGGCCGCCTTGGCGGCAACGTGTCCTAGTTACGTTATCGATGGATATTTTCTTCATTTGTTCCAATACCAAACCATACCGATACTTTTTGTGAATGGTTTCTTCATCAGAAATGTTTATACAATGCAATTCTGTATAGTAAATTCGTGCTAGATAAAAGATTTTTCATAAAAATACAAAAATAGCGCATACAAAATACCTACGTCACCTCTTTTTCAAACTTTGACAAGCACATACAAATATTAAAAATCGTTAAAAAATATAATTGTTAATACAGACGTATAGAGGAAAGTCCCCTCTAACTTTTGTCATAAACCTGAACTTCCTCGCATTTTTAGTTCTCACGTAATACTTCATTGTTTCCTAAAATCACACATTTTTACAAAAATGCCTGTTTCTCAAAAACTGTACGTGATGGAGCAATTTTGAAACCGAATTCGGTTTCACAATGAAAAACTCTATAAGAATCACGTAATGGACATTGCAGACCACAGAAAAAGTTCAAATTTGTTGGACTGTGTAATCAAAAAAAATATAACAAATGAGAATTCTAAGAAAAGACATGTACTGGTTAACCAGCCGTCGCACAGTGGGACAAAACGGCTTTTGGCGATCAAAATTCTGTAACTTCGGTTCTATTGGAAATATTTTAATGAAATTTTGGGAAGGTTTTGCCTACATTATGGTACATAAGTTGTATCAATATGAATCATATTGAACTACAGGGATGACCAAGTTCCCGTTTGACGATTTTGTAGTTTAACATATCCGGAAACTAGGATGCCAAAAGCACGATTTCGACCAATCCCCATAAAGCCCCATGTTAAAATCCATTAATCGATTTGGATAAAACTGGGTACAGATCATCTTGGCGGCCTATTCTATGGATTCCATGGGGTAAAAATTTGCCGGGATCATGGGCGTCAACTAACGTATTGGGGATAGCCATCTCTTTTCTTCATGAAATCAAATAAGTAACTTTTATAAGTAACTTGATAGTGCATAAATAACTGCGGTTAAGTTTAAATTGTGTTAATAATGGTGCAGAAACACTTTTGTAAATGTTGTTAAATTGTAAATGTAGAAACATTTTTTGTCATTCTAATTTAAGAAGAGCCCTAATAAACATCTTTTTGTTCAGGTAATTTTACAGAAGAAATTGATCGTGAAGTAAGAAGATTATTACAAATTCTTCCAGCGTATTATCCCGGTGTTGGACGAGTGAGTCCAGAATGTAAAAGAGACGCTGCTATTTTTTATCAAGAGCTTACGAAATTCACTTTGTGGGCCCTTAAAAGTAAGTATACTATGTATATATTTGGAAAAGTTTAGAATAATTTTACAAAAGGAGTTCGGTGTGAACCATCGTAATGATAAAACGTGTTTTGGTGTCACTCGTGCTTACGTGTACAATATTCTATTAACTGTTCTCGGAATAGAAGTGCTTCGATATTATTGCGAAACAATACAGTTTCTGTATCTAAGGTGAATCAGTGTAAAAAGCCCATGGATATGGGCTTATTGACCTCAACGTTCGCTAAATAACTCTATACCCAGTACCACAATGTCTTCCTCTAAAGTATCATACGCTCAAGTAACTCAGAATGTTAGCTTCCTAAAGAAAGAACAAGCTATCGTTACAGACACAGTTGAAGGGTTAACTATTAAGGATTATATGGTAGCCACTGGCAAGTTAGTAGGCTCCAGTAATACTCGCTTCGTTTCTAGAATATCTCATGGTAGAGTCTGTTTATATTTAAGCAATGAAGCAACGGTAGACAACCTGCTCGCCACACACAAGAATATCAACATAAATAATCACACTCAAATTATGGCCACTTGTCTCCACAGCCAAACGCGTAATACTTTCTAACGTATGTCTAATAATTCCACACAGCATCATTGAAGGTAAGTTATTGAAACTGAACATCACAAAAAAGCCTCAGATATCTTTCATTAAAGCAGGGATGAACGACCCGGGGTTCACCCACGTACTCAGTTTCAGGAGACAGATGTATATTGAGCCAGAAGATATAAATAAACTGCCAAATGCAATCGAAATAAATTTTGAAAATACGCTTTCTTTGCAAGGAAGAAGGACATCTCGCCAAATACTGCAAAAACGCGTGTGTCATCGACAAAGAACCGCAAATCTCTTTTCAACAGGTCTCTCCTTCTTCCACCCCAGAAAATTTCAAAAAAAACTCAAAATAACTCATCTTCTAATCAAGAAAAAACAGTGTTCAAAATTCCGATTGTCGGCGGTATAAAACGCGCCCTTTCAAGTACTAGTTCTTTTGGTCACGGCGCATCAGAAATCAATACTGCAGACAACTCCAAAAAGGAAATCGACAAAATTACAGAAATAGTAAATATGGACAGTAGGAAATCAGAAAAGAAGAAAACGAAAATAGTCCGCCTCCTATTTGATATTAGCGAGCAATTAGAAACAGCAAAACTCTACATTTCGAATCAAATGCACGGCCTCCCCCTCAACTTTGCAAATATATGAAACTTCCTCAAGGAAATCTGTGGAATAAAAATCACCAATATCAATCCTTCTTTAGAAATAATAACTTAACCTAAATAATAGGGGATTTTAATGCACACCATACGACGTGGAACTGTTCTAATACCGACCCCAACGGTGATAGATTCTTACAAGCTATCATCAACAATATTCTTTTTCTTCACAACCTAAATTCATTCACCCATATAGATTTGTATTGGAATAAAAAGTCAAACATTGACCTCATTTTATCTTCCATGAATATTGCCGACAGAATTAGGATAGAAACGCACAACGAAACTTTGGGTTCCGATCATTATCCAATCTCTATAAACATAGATGTTGAAAAGAACTTTTATCATGAAAAGTCGTTTAAAATTAATTCCATCCGAACCGACTGGGAAAAAGTATCAATAGAATTAGAAAACTCATATATCGAATTCTTTGATCCACTTTATGACACTCTGCCAGCAAGTGGAAAATACAAGCATTTCGTTAATATAATAACAAATTGCATTAAGGTCAATACCCCTAAAAAAAGAACTGTTAACCACCTTATACACAGGAACCCCGTTCCGTGGTGGGACTCTGAATGCGATAAGTTCAAAAGATTAAGAAAAGCCTACTATAAAAAATAGGAGCATACAAACAATCTTACTGACTTAATCAACTATAAAAAAATAGTCCCACAAACCAAACGACTATTCAAACAGAAAAAAGAGATAGCTTCAGAAATTTCGCGAAAAGCATTAACTTCCATACGGATATGAAATTTACCTGGAAGAAAATTGAAATTCTAAAAAATAAATGGATTAAAACGAACGTAACGAGCGTTACAGAAAATCTACAAGTTGAGAATCAAATCCTCACCGCACTCAATAAAATAAGTCCCCCGTGGGCTCCTACTGACCCTTCCTACCTTCCCGATTGTAACCCTAACGACTTTTTAGATGCATATTTTGATCTTACGGAACTCAACATAGCATTGAACTCCCGAAACCCTAAATCAGCTCCAGGGTTAGATGGAATTAATTACGAAATTATCAAAAAGTTGCCTATAAAATACAAATTCTTACTTTTAGACATTTATAATCAAATTTACATTACAAATGATTACCCTTTGGATTGGAAACAGTCTAACATCCACTTTATTGAGAAATCCAACAAAAAAAGTGTTCGTCCAATAGCCCTTTCATCTTGTTTTTGCAAAATATTCGAAACACTTATTAAGAATAGACTACAATGGTGGTTAGAGCATAATAATCTCCTTCCAACAAGTCAAACAGGCTTTCGTAAAGGCCAGTCGTATACTGACAATCTTACTAGCTTAGCTCTGTTAGTGGAAGAGGGATTTCTCAATAGGGAGGACACGTTGGCAGTGTTTTTAGATATACAAGGCGTTTTCGATAACGTTAATAGCGATATCCTGCTAAACAAATTAGCCTCCAGCGGCTGTTCATACCGCTTCATAAGATTTGTGAAATTTCTTACACATCAGTGGGAAATCTACTCAGAACTAACAAGCAATACAGTCAGATATATCCACAAGGGTATTCCTCAGGGAGGGGTCCTCAGCCCACTTCTGTATATACTTTACGTTTCAGACATCACTAACAACTTGCCTAAAAATGTCTCTGTTTTTCAATTTGCGGATGATTTTGCAATCTACTCGAAAGCTTCCCCTTTAAATAAATGCACAAGTCTCATTGAAATATCTATATCTGTCATTAAAGACAACCATTCTCTCCTTAGGATTAGAATTAAGTCCGCAGAAAACAGCACTACCTACTTCATTTTAATAGAAAAAATATTATTCCTGGTCAAACTGAAATTAAAATAGATGAATATGTGATTAAATCCGTTGATTCCATTTAGTTTCTGGGTGTTTTCTTCGACTACAAAATGACCTTTCAATCTCACCTGAATCATGTGCAAAGAAAATACGTTAAAGCTCTTAATATCGTTAAATTCCTCTGTGGAATAAGATGGGGTTCTGACCCAACAACGCTTTTAACCATGTACAAAAGTTTTGTTCGTCCGCATATTGTCTATGGATGCTTCATCTACTTCCTATCTCGCAAAAACTTGAGAGATAAATTAGAAAAGATTCAATACTCTGCAATTAGATCTGCCCTAGGGTATCGAATAAGCACACCCACCAATATTTTGTTAGCGGAATCGAAGCTTCCGCTTATTTACGATCGAGCAAATTTTTTATGTTACAACTATCTAGCGAGGGTCTTTACGAACACTGGCCTGCAAGTTAATAAAACAATTACCAAATTCTATCTAAAGACTATAACGATTAAACGTAAGAAAAAACGCCTTCTAAAACAATGTATAGATAATACCCTTATCATTAAGAAGAATCTATGGATTGGCAATCACTACGACATTTATCGTGCGGATTACAATACCATGAAAGGCACAGTCCTGGTTAATACAGTAAAACCTGGATAAATGCAACCAAGATTGGGACCCAGTGGTTGCATTTATCCAAGCGAGGTGTCGAATCTCGGGTTACACGCGACGACCAGCCAAGCGTGAACGTAGAAAGGGACAGACAGTGGCGGAAAGAGAGAGGTCCGATGATGAAAGGAAAGAGCCGAAACGTATCGGTGTGACTAATACTAATTCAACTATAAAACTTTTTTATTTTTGACTTTTTTTTATTAAAACTTTTACTAACGCATTGGTGAAATTTTTCTGATTCAAATGGTACCAAACACGAGATAGTTTCAATTATAATTACTTGCTAAAATTGATGTTAAAGGTTGGCGAAAAGCAATAGAGATCGAAATCAAAACCAGTCGCGGTGTCGGCTCTGGTTTCAAAGGTTTCATTTATCCAGGCAAGGTGTCGATTCTGGGCATTTAATGTTGCATTTATCCAAGCGAGGTGTCGATTCTGGGCATTTAATGTTGCATTTATCCAAGCGAGGTGTCGATTCTGGGCATTTAATGTTGCATTTATCCAAGCGAGGTGTCGATTCTGCGTCTGTACACATGTTTTGTATTCAGCCGACATGCCGATTCTGTGTCCGTACACATGTTTTGTATTCAGCCGACATGCCGATTCTGTGTCCATCCACATCTTTTGTATTCAGCCGACATCATTTATATTCAGTCGTGGTGTCAATTCTATGTTGTTTATTCTATTACTATTGTTTATAAATATAATTCAAACTATATCATATTTGGTGTCATTTTAATAAGAAAAATCTCACAAATGCATTAGTAAAAGTTTCATTAAGAAAAAGTTAAAAATAAAAAAGTTTTATCGTTCAATTAGTATTAGTCACACCGATATTACGGTCGGATCATATTACACGGTTTCCTCGTCGAGCGGCTCGGTTCACCTAGGGGGATCCCCCCAAGTGGAGGGGATAGCGATGTTGCATTTATCCAAGCATTCTTTCGTTGCATTTATCCAGGTTTTACTGTACTGCACTTGGAAACACTCTTAAACATAGCAAACGCCCTACTACTATTTTAAATAGCTGGAGAGGCCTTCAGTTGCGCACTATACGATTACGCACTATCTCATTGCGCATAGCTCCTTTGGGCACAGTATTATTGTGCACAGTAAGAATTGGACACAGCTCTATTGCGCACGTGCAGAATATCACACAGTACAGTTGGGCACCGAAAAAATTGCGCACAGTATCAATGGGACACTGAATTAAATTTGTGCGCCCATTTCCCTTCTTATGTCGTGATTTTATCTATGGATATGTTAGAAATCGGGCAAAAAAAATGATTGAGTTTAAGACTCGTATTCCAGTGTGG